AGCGGAAATATTAATGGCCGCAGTTAGCCTGCTAAGCTGTGGGCTTCCTTGCTTGCCAGCCAGGAGACTACAAAAGTGAATGCAGCATTCAGGTAGTTCTGAAGCAGACTTTTTGAGAACACTACCAATAGGCTGTCTTGAATATTAGAGCTTTGCTTCATTTCCCATGAATGTTTTCTGAAAAAATCCTTCACAATTTGAGAAAGAGTAGATTTTCAGTCAGGGTGCCATCTGACTAAGATATAAGAATCTAAAGATGGGTGAAAACAGCAATCCATAAAACCCAGAGTTTTGATTTCTGACATTAGGAAATAATGAAAGCCAAGAGATTATATGTATGCAATACAACTAAACAATAATTTTTTTTATTATAAGGCTTCTAGTACGCTGTGCCAATGGATCTCCATGTCCCTTGGTGGCAAATTATCTTATGCATTTAACTAATATTCTTTGAATATGTCTGTGTGTTTGACATTCATAGAATCTCTGCAGTGGTAGTAGCAGCATCTTTAGTTGAGGTTAAAGCAAAAGCAAAATACATGTATGTATATGTACATTTGTTTCTTCAGAATAGGTGATGGCTGTGGTCTGTCTTCAGTGTGTAGTTCCCTTAAAAGCTTTCAGTATGTTTTAGAAGCTCTTAAAATAATTTCTATAAGCTTCAGATCATCTGTGGTCAGCTTCCCTGCCTCACTCTCCAAAACAGCCTGCAAAGGGAGTGCCCCCCAAACTTGAACGCACAGAGCAGCTTACATGTGGCTTGCGCAAACTGGGAACAAACAATCCCACCAGAGGTGCAGAGGGCCATTTATTTTGAGTAATATGTTGATCATTTAGAGTTTGTTCTGCATAAGGTTTTTAAAGAAAATCGGGGACATTTACAGGAATTAAAAGCTATATTGAGCTATATTGTTCTCCTACACAGATACAATAGGAGCTGAGTTTGATCTCCCATTGAAATTGTTTACTTTAGGGCTTCTTGCTGGCTCTGCCTGCAGTGTTGTTTTGTGGGAATGATACAGGACAATACTGGCAGGGATGGATGAAACCTGAGAAATGAGAAGATTGAGCGATGGTGAAGCAAATATCAATCTCGTCCATTAAGAGTTTTAATTACAGAATTACAGAATGGTTGGAGTTGGAAGGGACCTCTGAAGATCATCTAGTCCAACACTCCTGCTAAAGCAGGTTCACCTAGAGCAGGTTGCACAGAATCACATCCAGGTGGGTTTTGAATATCTCCGGAGAAGGAGACTCCACAGCCTCTTTGGGCGGCTTGTTCCAGTGCTCTGTTGCCCTTGCAGAAAAAAGTTTTTCCTGATGTTCAGAAGGAACTTCCTTTGCTCCAGTTTGTGCCTGTTGCCCCTTGTCCTGTCACTGGTCACTGTTGAAAAATGTTTGACCTCCACAAATACTTGGTTATGTGACAAACATAGGGGAATTTGAAACTTAAACAAGATAATTAATTTTAAAAAATTACCTTTTGTTAAATCTTGATGCAGTTTTATGGCTGCTGCCTTATATGTCATTATGTTATTTCCTTGTTATTATGTTATAGTTAACCTTCAGTTGTACTCATACCCACAAAACTTTGTGCCTAATCAATAGGGATAGTATCAAAGATAGGTAGCACTTTTTTATCTGCCCAGTGTGGCAGTCTAGCTGGCATTGGCAGTAGAGAGACGTATGCTGGGCTTAGCTGTGACTTCAAAATAGGAAGTTTTACAATAGAACTGGTGGGCAGTTAGTACTGAGTCTGGGCACAGAGATGCAGAAATGGAATTTACATGTATTTTTGTTGGCTTTTTTGGAAGTGCTTTGAAGTTCCAAAAAGTGAAGCTACAGTTAATATAGCATCTTCTGTATGGATAGCCTCTCCTGTGTACAGAAGTGGTCTCTGTGAACTCCTGATGTTGCACATGTATAGGACCATGTGTGGCCATACATGATGCTGAAGTTCAGGATTTTGAGAAAGTGCAACTTAAATGCATAAAGCTAAAGATTGTAGTGTGTTTTTTTATATATGAGTATATAAATACTAGGCATAATTGGGATCTTAGCTTTGCTATATCTCTTTAAAGCTTGATAGCATAATTTAAATGTTTGTTTCATGTTGTTTTTTTCACATGGGACTGATGGTTTGTTGGTAGTCTCCGTGCAGTCCTTCAAGGAAGGAAGACAAAATGAAGACATGTTTTAAAGCAATGATAATGACCTCAGGGCAAGGGATTTGGAGAAGAAGGAAGAATTAGTGAAAAGAATTTTTGTTATTTATGGCATTATAACAGAATATACTAGATAATATCTCTCATAATGCTTTTTCAGAAACTATGTGAATTTTGGTTAATTTTAATATATATGAATATATTTCTTTAATGACCTAAAGGGCAAGATAGACACAAACATTCAAAACTTCGAAATTTTTATTCTGCTTTATATATGAGAAAGACATCATCTCTCTGCTCTGTTAAACATACTGTTTAACAGTATGTAGTCATGAAACTGCAAACAGTGAGGTGATCTGTCTTCCTTAGAATACCACAGTTTTGGTGGCTTTTGGTTTTTGTTTTGATTTTTTTTTTTACCTCCCCCTTGTGGAAGTGTGTGAATGTGAGAATCTTACCTTTCACTGGGGAAAAAACGGCTTGCAGTTGTTCTGATTATGGGAAAAATATTGAATATGTGAATTCCAACGATTTCGACAAAAAGGAGGGGGAAAAAAAAAAGAATATAACAGTAATTTTACATCAACACTTCTGGAGACGTGAAAAGTAATTTTGGAGAACTTGGGGTGACCAATACTGAGATCTGGTTCATTGTGTCTGCCTACACTGGAGATTGAACAGGATGCTTCTGGTTCTGACTTTTGTGTGAAGTGTTATAGAACTTCCTATGTGTAAAATATGTGGGCAGATCTCTGCTACGTTTCATAGGTGGGATGTACAAAAGTCAAAGAAAAGGTAAAATAATGTTGAGGGAATTCTGCATGAAATTCAGGTAAAATCCCCAGAATACCTGATGGACATCTAGAGCCTTTAAGTCTTTCTGAAAACTTTTTGGCTACTCCAACTTGGTTAGCTAGACTGAAGCTGGAATGACTGACTGTTAATCTGTGGAACAGTGTTTTCATCTTCTGGAGGGATGGCTCCAGGCAGAGAGTTACCTCTTGCTGTTTAAAGTGTAGGTCATGCAAGGCACTTCCTTCTCATCAGCACTTCCTTTTCTTTCTTCATGAATTCTGTAGCAATTGTGAGAGATAAAGCCAGACTACTGTAATAGATTTCTGACACATTTAGATAAAATACTACAGAAGCCTGTCATGCAGACTTACTCATAGCTATGCTCTGATGGACAAAGCCTTCTAGTTCTGTAGTGCAGCCATGAGGTAATACTGGTGTGAAGCATGCTTGAGTATGCTCAGAATTTTCTTTCATATTGCAAGCACCGTAGAGTTCAGTGGTGTGGCTCAGCCAAGAGACTCATTTCTGAGCTAATGCTTTAGTCTTGTTTCTGCCTGGCTTGCAGGAAAGAAAACAGAACCTTTGCTTCTGGATGTCTTTTTCAGATGCTCATCATCAGAAAGCACTGTGTGTTCTCATTTTGGGTGGTTGTGGTTATAATTGTTTGGGAATTTTTGAACGGTGCTTTTATTTTTTCTTGTGAGACAATACAGTTTCATCAAAACTGAAACAACTAAAACTCAGTGTCTATAAGGTTTTGATCAAATTCTAAGCGCACTTCAAAATTTTCAGAACAAATGTGATTGTTCTATTTTATAAAAACTTTTTGGTTTGAAATGTCAACTACTTATAAAAAAGTAACAAATTTTAAATATTTTGAAGTTATACTAATAAAAAGTGATAATCTCAAACTTATTTTTTAAAGTTATTCATTATGTTACATACTTAGGTAAAGAAAATAATATTCAACTAGATTTATAAAATAATAATGAATATCCTCTAGTTCCCTTTCCCTTCCCCCTTCCCCTTCCCTTGTGAAATTGTATATATTTTAAATTGTATATATTTCAATTGTAACGTAAGTGTAAATATATTTATATATATATCACTTTAACTGTCTTTCTCGTTTCGGGTTTTTCTTAGTTGGTTGTTTTTTCTCCCTCTTCTCCCTGAGGTTTGGGGGGGGGGGTACTTCTGGTGGTAAGGTTTGGAGACTTGGCAGGGAACCAGCTTCAAACCATATCACAAAGTTAGAATAAAAGAATAAAATAATTTATTTTATTTAAGTTGCCATGCTAGTGGGGTAGGGCAATTGATTAATTTCACAGAGTGTGTGATGTCCTTTGGATTTTACCATAAATTCCTTGCAATACGAAAATTCTTCTATGGTCATGGGTTTCTTTTCAGTTAAAGGTGTGTTAAGTTGGTTTTAGTCTGCTGTCCTGAAATTCTGAACTCTTAATTCAGCTGACTGGATCTTTATTGTCTGCATGAAGTAAAAATGTGTGTTAGTAGATCTAAATGATACTTAACAAAAGGAAAGCATGTAATGAAGGAACATAGGTAATAAAAAAAGTACATATCTGCTGGATGAAGTTGGAGCTTTGACCTGTTTTACTGGGTGGCTAAATGCACCTTTACTGTCTTGACTCGTCAGTACATATATAGTACTTCCCCTCAGAGAACATTACCCTAGAAAATGAGAAATGTTCACAAAGTGCCTTGTGCTATAAGAATTAGGGATTTTTCAGCATGTAACAGTAGCTAACCTATGATGTTAACTGCAGGATTTTGTTTGTGTGAACTGGGAAATATCTTACGAGCCTGGTGCGTATTTGTTGTATAATTACCTCTGAGGTGGTGGTCAAAAGTAATCCCAAGCCAATTACACTGAATTTTCCAAAGCTTAAGCATGATAACCAGGTTTGCAGTTGTGGAGAAACAACAGCTTGGCACTGCTACTTTTTTATCAAACTTGAGGACAAAAATAAAGGGGAACCCAAACCAGAAGACAACTGCCATGCCCTCTTTCCCTCCTAGCCTAAATACAAGATGTGTTTGGCAGCACTGAGAAGCTGTAATGGAGCTTTTCTGCACAAAGGAAGAATCTATGCTGCAAGCAAGATATTTTTACTTCAGCCAAGGAATGGCCAAGGGAAATATACAGAACCGCCTGCCAAATGTGAGTGAAAATCAGAAGGTTGTATTGTGCCTGAAAGAGACACAGAAGAACAAAGACATAGTTTCTACTGGAGTGCTGCCAGTAGGCAAAGGTCTGCATTTTAAGAGTTATCTTTAAAATTCTGACATATCAGTTCATCCTGCTAGCTTATTAGGCCATTTCTCAAATCTTTTAATTGCTTTAGATGCTAAGAACTAGATACCTTTATGATTTTTTCCTGTTTACAGTTAAAGCAGTGATAGATCTGTGGTGGACCAAGCTTTTCTTGCGCTTCTTAATTTTTTTGCTCAGTGAGATGCTTCACAACAAGTACTTCTGAAGAGATGAGCCTTAATAGCCTAATACATAGGTCTACATGAATACATTAATAACACACCGAATATTGTCTGTATTTCCTCCATGGCACAGTTGAAAATCTTCAAGGAAAAGTACCTAAACCATTAAGCATGCTGTCCCAGATTTCATAGCCCAACAGTAGAATCTCTGTCAGGACATAGTTACAGTGTGTGAATAAGTGCCAAATGAGTAGTAATATTGTAGGGATCGCAGCTGTTAAATTCTATAGAAAATAAGTCCTTGGATTTAACTCTTTCACAATGCTTACAATTACTGATAAGTTTGAGAGGACTTTCCTATGCAGACCTGTCTAGAAGGCACCTCAGGGAAGAGACTGTGTGTGTGTGTGTGTGTGTGTGTGCGCGTGCGCGCGCGCGTGTGTGTGTATGGAAGTATGCTGTACTACACAGAGTGTGAACTGTTGATTGAAAACGTATTTCTTACTGCAGCTGTTAGAAGTGACATTACAGCCTGTGACAAACATCTGTAGTTTACCTCAAAGACAGCAGTAGCTTGTTGGAAAATTGTTCTCGGTGTAGTAAATTTCTTTTAGTTTGTTGAAGAAGAAATATTTATTCTTACATGTTTTTACGTTAAATTTGATACAGTCATATCTTCAGCAAATGAGATAAATTGGCTAAGCTGCCATTGGCTAGCCATTTCCACGTATGTGTTCTGGATAAAAGAAAGAAGAGAAGATTAGATTCTTATTGTTTGCAAAACCAAATTGAAAACTTCCACTTGATAATGTATTGGTTCAAAAGAAACTCAAACATCCAAAGAAAGGATAAATATGTTCTGAAAAGCTTTACTTTAAAGGGATTTTCTTTGGAGTTTTGCTAGACTATTCTTGACCAATTCTATTTAGATATGGTAAGAGCTGTTACAGCTTTGCACACAAATATTTTGATGTTTGTTCCAGTTCTATTCCATGAAAAAAAAATAGAAGCTTTGTACTCAAATCAGTCATCTACTCTTAATTGAATTCTTTCTTACTGGGGAAGAGGGTGAGCCAGGAAGAAAGAAATAAATAATAAAGGCATGCATGATAGGGATATAATTGGAATTGAATGCAATGATACCGTGTCCATGTCTTACTGCTTTCATTTTCATGGCAATTTTAAAGAATTATATGGTCACCAAGACTATTTAGAAGAAGTGAGAAATACAAGAATTAGACCAGCTATGGTATCTCAAAGGAGGAAGCTGGAGGAGCTTTCCTTGATCATAATTCTTATCTCCCATTCCGGGAAAGGAAAGTCAGCATTGTTTGCCCATATCCTACAAACCAGTTGAAGTATACTTCCCACGCATTTCCCACGTTTTTCTATCTATAGTACTCCATTATAGAAAATGCATTATTTGTTTGACCAGACACATGACTGACAGAGAAAGCTATTTACAGAATCGTAGAATGGTTTGGGTTGGAAGGGACCTTACAGATCATGTAGCTCCAATCCCCTTGCCGTGGGCAGGGACACCTCCCACTAGACCAGGTAACCCAAAGCCCCTTCCAGCCTCTTCTTGAACACCTCTGGGGATGGGGAGTCCACAAATTCTCTGGAAAACCTGTTCTAGTGCCTCACCACCCTCACAGTAAAGAATTTCTTTCTAATATATAATCTAAACCTACCCTTCTTCACCTTAAAGCCATTACCCCTTTTCCTACCACTCTATGCCCTCGTGAAAGGTCCCTCTTGAACCTTCTTTAACCCCCCTTCAGGTACTGTAAGAGTGCTATAAGGTCTCCCCAAAGTCTTCTCTTCTCCAGGCTGAACAGCCCCAACTCTCCCAGACTGTCTTCATAGGACAGATATTCCAGCCCTGTGATCAACTTAGTGGCCCTTCTCTGGACTTGTTCCAACAAGTACACATGTATTCTTTGTATTGAAAGTCTGAGAGTTGGACACAGTGCTCCAGGTGGGGTCTTCCCCACCTGAGTAGAGCAAAGTAGAAGGTGAGAATGACCTGCCTTGACCTGCTGGTCACTTTGCTTTTATTACAGTCCAGGATATGGTTGTCTTTCTGGGCTACCAGGACATGTTTCTGGGTCATGTTGAGTTTATCGTCCACAAACTCACCCAAGTCCTTCTGCTGCTCTTGATCTGTTTTCCACCTGGCCTGTACTTATAATTGGGATTGTGCCGACCCAGCTACACGACCTTGCACTTGGCCTTCCTGAACTTCATGAGGTTCTCTTGGATCTATGCCTCAAGCCTGTCAAAGTGTCCCTCTGGGTGCTGTCCTTTCCCTTCAGCATGTCAAACTCATCACACAGCCTAGTGTTGTCAGCAAACTTGTTCACAGTGCGTTCAATCCCACTGTCCATGTCACCAAAAAAGATGTTAAAATGTGCTGGTCGCAGTACTGACCCCTGAGGAACACCACTTGTCACGTTGTCAACTTGGACATCATGTTGTTGACCGCAACTCTTTGAATGTGTCCATCCAACCAATTCCATATCCACTGAGTGGTCCAGACCCCGGCAGCCCCCGCACGGCATACAGCGGAGGTCTGGGGACCCCAGCAGCCCTCACGCTGCCTGCGGCAGAGGTCAGGACCCTGGCCCCCGGGCTTGGCCACGGTCAACCCCCGCCGTAGCCCCAGCGGGTGAAAGGAGAGAAAGAGGGGGAACCTCACTGGCAGGTGCTGTGCCCCTGTGGAAGAGGAGAGGGGAGCTTCGGAGCACACGGAGGTTTGCAGTTCCAGGTCTGGGGGAGGGGAAGGGTGTCCTCAGACTGGCGGGAGGGCGAGCGGGGCAATCCTTTATGAAATGTTGCAGGTGAGCAGTGCGCGTGTAGATATGTGGTAACACAGTGAGGTAAGGATAACATCAGGGTGGATGATGGGTTCTTTTAGAATGTTGGGGGTCCCAGCCAGGCTGGGGCCTTGAAAGGCACCCCAGCCTTGGATCAGGGGTCAGAACGGTTGGTTTGTTCGTTTGTTTCTGGCTCACCTGCAGCTACTGCCCAGGTTCGGCATCCTCTGGATATATTTACTTTGCTCTGTTACATCCTGAAAGGGTGGTCAGGACAAAGGGTTGTTCCTGGGTATTTCTTTGAGATTGTATATAGATAGGTGATAGTAAAGTAGGAAATGAAAGACTTGCCCAAATTGTTCCAAAAGGAATGAAACCTGTGTACCCCTGTGTGGTTGCGAGCTATGCTGGCGATGGTACATGCCTTTGGTAGGGTCGCCCATGCCAGACAGGTCAAAACCGTAGGACCAGATACAATTCATTCTTGGGCAGGATGAACTCGTTAGCCTTCTGGCAGTCATCCTTGGAGAAGGACAACTCCAATCCCAAACCTGGGCAGATGGAGTTCGCTTAGCCCTGTAAGGCCATCCATATAAGAGAAGCTCACTCTAATTAAACCTACATCCTGAGGACCTCGCTGCAACCATCCAAGCTTACTCGGCCCTGGTAGATGAACCTTAGGATTAAAGGGTGGGTTCAGTTCTGCGCATACTGCATCTCACCTAAAAAATCCATTGTGCAGGCTTGAAGGCTTTACCCACATGCAAAAAACCCTGTAGCGACGGGCGAGGGTCGAAACGGCAGGTGAAAGGTGCACTGGAAGCCGCAGACCCAACCCTGCATGCAGGCGGTTCAGGATATTGGTCATTTGAGACTGACCGGAGACGACAGTCTCTTGGGGCAGCACCCTGAACGACCAAGCAGCCTTTTCAAGGACAGCACTGCTTGCTCCACTCGGCGAGGGGCCTAGAAAAGGTGGCCTAAACAAAGCTCATCTCCACCTTCACCCGGTTGGTTAACCGCAGGCCAATGGGCATCTTCTTCCAATGCGGTCGCACAGAGATCAAAAGACAAAGGCATGCACCTCCCTCCAAAGGTGTACCTAAACTAACTCTAGCATGTTGAAATATCAGAACCATGCTTGATTCTGCGGATAGCGGACGTCCTGAGCGACGTTCTGCCCAAATTGCCCATGAACTGACTCGTCTCAGCATCAACATTGCTGCTCTCAGTGAAGTTCGCCTTCACGAGGAAGGCAGCCTCAGAGAACATGGTGCCGGTTACACACTTTTTTGGTCAGGTAAGCTCAGAACCAGAAAACATCTCTCAGGAGTCGGCTTCATGATCAAAAACTCTATTCTTCCCAAACTTGAAAATCTGCCAACAGGTCACTCTGACTGCATTATCTCCCTACACCTTCCACTACACAACAAGCAACACGTCCTCTTTAGTATGTATGCCCCAACTCTCCAAGTCGACCCTGCTGAAAAAGATAAATTTTACACTGACCTGCGCTGCCTTACCCAAAAGGTTCCTGCAGATGATAAGGTCATTATCCTTGGTGATTTCAACGCCAGAGTAGGTAAGAATTTTGAAACATGGAAAGGAATATTAGGCAAGCATGGTGTTGGAAACTGCAACGATAATGGTCGACTTCTGCTAGAATTCTGTGCGGAGCAACAGCTCACCATTATTAATACTATCTTTCAGCAGAAAAATAGTCTGAAGACAACCTGGATGCACTCCAGATCTGCGCATTGGCACCTCATCGATTATGTCTTGGTGCGATGGAGAGATGTCCGTGATGTCCACCATACCCGCGTGATGCCCAACACAGAATGCCAAACAGACCATCGGCTTGTGCACTGTAAACTCAACTTCAGTCTCAAATTCAAACCTAAAAGGA